AATGCCTTTTTGAAGTTAGGCCAACTCTTGATATTCCCTACTAGTATTCTACTACCATATTCGGCTACTCCACTAAGTGTTAGGTAGAAAGCTATACATTTTAGTGTGGCACTTCTTCAACTCATTTGAGTTTTGTAGTTGTTGAGATGCTTTGTTGGATCACTTCTTCCTTTATACAAGGGAATCTTAGAATACAGAAAATGACTTGGGACATTGGCATCCTTTAGCTCCCTTAAGAAGAGAAGGGTGTCATCATCATCATCAAGCTCATAAGACTTGCATGTCACTTCTGATCTTGGTACCTAGGATGCTAAGAGTTCCTCCCTGGATTCATAGCAGCCTCTACTGACATTCTTTCTTGCCTATTTCTAGGTCAACATTAAATTTGGGACATTTGGCATTACATTTGTTCATAGGGCCTCGATATGGAAGCGTAGGTATTGGGGCCTATTATTAGGTTCTTCAAGATAAATCTCGTTGAAGACGCTAGCGGATCTATTAGATCTACACTCTCATTCGTATTTAGAAGAAAAGTTATGCTCTCTATTAAACCAATCATTAGAGTTCGACTGGATGCGAAATTTGTTGACACGTCCACTCTTACTTCCCTTTCAAAGGGCTGGCATTTCTCCTATGCATGTGAGAATGATCTCTTCCACTTTGGACTTCTTCCTCTCTATCGTTTTTTTCCTAATAGAAGAGGCTTGGCTGGTGCACCTCTTGGGACATTTGATGACCTATTTGTCCTTGTATTTGAAGGAAAAGTTACTGCATGAGGGTGTTTTATTGTGTTATGCTCTTCATCTTGGCAACTACTTTTGCTACCTTTCTCATGAGGCGATCCACCCCTATCACCTCGGTGGTGTTGTTGATGGGGTCGACAGTGAATAACATTGGTCTGAGGAGCTCTTCATCAAAGACCTCCCTTGTTCTCCATGGATGCGTATTTTCATCGCTAGCACTCATAGTGGGTGGATACCTCTTTTAAGTAGATTTTTATCTTTAAGTGTGAGACATACTAAATACATAAGCCACTAAATGTAGAGGGGTAAGGTCCAAGAGCACTGTAGAGAGAACAATGAGAGTATGTTTATAATTTGAGTATATAAAATTGAATTACATTATAATGGTACTAAGTATGAGCTTTTATAACTGAAGAGGTGGAATATTGACTGTTGGATGGAAAGACAAGTGACCTCATTCTGATGGTCGATGTGTCCTTCTTAGGCGTCAATCCATCCATCTTAGATTGGGTCGCATGTAATGTTTATGAAAAACAGCCACCTAATGCAAGGTCGACCTCTAATTCATAGATTGACTATTTGATATTTAGACGCATACTGCAGAGATGTCACATCAATAAGTTGTAGGTGAATCTTGTACGAAATATCTCTTGGGATGATGTGAAGTAGGAGATCTTTTTTGTTAAAAGTAGGCCGATTGCCTCAAACTCCTTCCCTACAAAATACGTGGCACCTCGCCTGAACCATAGAGGTCGGCCACAACATGGAAATTCGACTAAAGTGATGCATCACCTCAACTATCTTATATGTGGGCTCACCTCAACCAGGTAGGAGTATGATGTGGAATACGACCCTTGTTGACTTGCCACTGGCTGTTTGGAGCCTCGTCACAAGAGGCATAGCAATCTCTAAATTGGAATCGGGACATAAAAGGCATTCATATTAGTTTATTCACTACGAGTCTAACATGAATATATTATTTTGAGTTTTCTATGTTTTACTTAATTTTTGAAGATTAAAAAGTAAAAAATAAATAAGATCAATCTGCTTAGCTCATATCAGTTGTGGGCCTAGCTAGAGGCGTAGGCAATGCACTCACATACTATATCGAACAATGCCACTTGCTCGTGTTTGGATTTCATTGTATTTTTCTCTTTCTTATTTTCATCAATTCTTTAATAAAATAATATTACACTTAAACTCAAAAAATTTTCTTATTTTCTAATCACACATTCTTAAAAAAATAATTATTCTAATTGTATATTTTTCTCAAAAACTTAATTTTAATGGAGCTCAAATAGGGGCTTATAGCATGTTTGTTTCAACGTCAAGTTAATTTAGTCGTAGTTACAAGCTCAATTTCCATTTTATAATTTCATTAACTGCATAAATTCAAATAATTTGCTACATTATGGGAGAGTAACAATAACTCGAACTTCCCCATCAAGATTTTATTAGACAAGCAACAAATATTGTTGACAAAGTCATTAGTGGACTGTTTATTGTTAGCAATGACAACCAAAATGATGAGAATCAAATGAGACACGAGGAGATTGAAAATTTTTGTAGTAGTAAGATTGTGAATCCTCGGAAAATAAAATCAGTAGAGACAGTTTGAGAAGACTTAGGTTCAACAAAATCAAATCAAAGACTAATCCAACAAGATGAAAGATCTTGCACGATCAAGCAGTATAATTTAGAAAAATAATGTATTAAATCAAATTTAAGTTCAGACGCATCGATAAAATCATTCAAGTAATGGAATCTTACAATGCAGGGTTATTGGTTTATTATTTGATAATTGTTTGTTTTCTTTGGTTAAAAACTAGACACAAAAGTAGTGGAGAGTGTTTCGCGCGTTTACTCGCTAACAATTAAAAAGGGGTCAGACGATTGTGTAAGGGACAAACCTTTTGGAACAAAGCCCCAAAAAGGGGTGTATATTGTATATGAAGATTACAGTTTGGA